CCCCAAAACCCCAAAACCCCGATATCCTTACTTTGATAAAAATGAGAAATAGCAAAAGGAAAATTGGTAATACCAAATAAATTTAATCTCCTTAGTTATCAAATTAATTTTATCTTAATCGTTAAAATTTTGTATAATGAGTAATCATTTTTTTTCTATTCAATATCGCTCAAAGCTTATCCTGTCAGCTTAGTAAATTCAAAGCTTGGACTTACATCGCATTTGCTGGTTTTGTAGTCAAACTGAGATTTGATTTCTCCGATTTTACACAATTATTAAAGTATATCTCTCACCTAATCTCTTGAAATTTGTTTCACATTTTATTTGTCAATGTTGAATTATTGCAACCATAAAAGCGCTGTTTCAAACTTGGTATCTGGGATAAGTTTATAGTCTACAATATCTAATTGCTTTAACATAGAGTGCAATCTTGGGATAATGATCGTTTCCTTATCAATTTATGTTATAGTCACATTTTCTTAGAAGAATTTACTTGCCTGATACATCCTAATTGGATTTAATGTTTTAAAAGTTCTCTCAGTAATTGCCTTGAAGGCTTACTTTCGAGAATTAGTGAATCTAACAAAGTATTTATTCTGAGTCCTAATAGGTTAATTGTTCTCATCTAATTCATTTAGAAATTCTGGATTGCCCAGTTGATCATTTGTCAGAACTTGATGATAACATATATTTCAAAACTCTTCTATTAAAAAGGAGCTCTATTCTGCCTTCCCTAAAACCTGAGCCTGCTTATGCTCTATCATTCATAACTATCATTTATAGCTTCTTTGTTTTATTTTCAATAAAGATCCCTGTATTGATAGGATAAAAATTAGCAGGAGCTGTTGATTTAAAATCTGATTCCTCGAATGCATTTCTTTTGATTCTCTTAACATACTCTAATCCATTTGAATCAGTGTAGAATACTCCATTATTTTAAATTTCATCGGAAAACCAATTTACTGTGGCTTCAACATTTCTATCTAGGCCATCTTTTTTTATGTCGAATTCAATATCTCCACATCCTTTATCATCTCTAGTCAGGTAGACTGTGACAATGGAGATTGTGTTTCTGTCATGTGCTTTATATGTAAATTATAAACCAGTCTAAAACTTGCCCTCTAATATTTCAGTAGATAATAGCTCTTCACTGAAATAGGAAGAATCAGATTAACTCGTCTTAAAGACATAGATTCCGCCTTTGTCTTAGTAGCCATCATAAGAAGGGTAGAATCTGAGTTCAAATCCAAATTAAACAGTAACATCTGCCACCTAATCAATCAAGATAAAGTGTATCGTCTATGTATCAAAACTTTTTTTTTAAAGCTTGCAGAAATCATTGAATCCGATTGCCCATTAGCTTTGTTCTAAAGATTGAATTTATTATACTTATTCTTCTGTTTCTTATTCTTCAAATTTAAGAGGGTTTTGAGATGCTTCTTAAATAAGAGTTTCATCTTCAAATATTTACTCTGAATTTTGTTGATATTATTGGTCCACATCTTATGTTTCCTGATTCTTCAGTAAATTCTAATTAATTTCAAGTTCTCTTTAGGATTTTTCTCCTTGAGTAACCTCTAAAATTTGATGAGACAATGGATTTATCTCCATATTCAAAGAAAGATCAGCATAAACTTCTTAATTAAAGTTTTTATTGCTTAAAAGATCATATTAGACTTCAATAAACTACTAAATTTCCCAATTCCATACTCTAACTTTGTAATTTAGATTTGTATTAATTACTCTTAATCTTGGCACTATTTGGCCAAAAGCACTAGGGTTGTGAAGTAAAATGTAAGTTATATTTTCTAGGCTAAATGACAACGGAATTTAATTCTCATTATTTAAATTGTACTAGTTTAAATTTAAGTCTTAGAAAATTCCAGGAAAATATTTGCTTCCCACATGTCTATTAAGTAACTATGTGTTCAATTAAATTATTTGCTTAATTTGTTCAATTTGTTGTTTAAGTACATACTCAACTGATGTTCCTGTAATAGTATCATGATGCATAAGCAATCCCCACTCAGCTTGAAGTTATTCACTAACTTATATAACTTCTAAGTTTTAATCTTCGGTAGATAGATGAAACTAAGTATACTCATTCAATGAGTATTAGGCGAGTTAAGTGAACTATCTAATTTAGTCTTTAAGATTAGGTCTACTTGTGTAATATCCATTCCAATAGTGTTCATAATGAAACATTTTTAAGGGCATGAAATCCCCATAGTATGGATTGAGTTTTATGTTTCTATATAATAATTCTTCCTTTAGCTGTTTTAAATACTTGCTAAACGTACTGTATTTAAATGTGTATCTGTCAGTGACTTATTAAATATTTTAAGTGAACTTATCGATGAAATCAAATGTTATCCCAGCCTCTTAATAAGCAAAATCATCGCCAAAAGTCATCAGAATATTTTATGTTTTAAAACCCTAAGTGAAATCCTCGATACATTTAATAATCTTCTTATTTCCCTCAATCATTAAGTTACTTTTTAGAAATTCTTTATAGTTAAAGCATGAAATTATTTAAGCACTGCCAATCGGAATTTTACATGGAGACGTATAAACATCATGAGTGAGATGAGTGTATATTCCATCTTGAGATCTGTATTCTTATTCGATTCCTTCAAAGGCAGGATTCCATATAAAAGCCATATCCTTAGTAGTCAACATACTTTATTTATACTCATCAGTCATTCTGCCAAAGAAAAGCGCTTCAAATCCAAGTTCTTTAAAGAATTTCGCAGTTTGGGAAGAATGCCCAAAAGCATCGGCTTGCCA